TCATCCTCGTTATAGAGGGCGTTTCCCCCCTCTCTACCTCTCCCTTTCTCCTCCCAATTTTTCACATCCTCCTTCATTCTAATCTACTTCAGCTTGTCTCTAATTCTCGTACCATCTCCTTCAGCCTTTCACCTCCCAATTCTTGTACAATCTCCTTCAGCTTGTCTTCCCCCACCTCCACCTCCGTCGTCTCTGCCTCTGCTGCCTCTGCTATCCCATCAGATTCCTACTCCTCCCAACTACTGTTTACGACTTCTTCCGTCCTCCGATCCCCTTCGCTAGGTCTTCATATCAGGACACTTCCCACACACAATTCTTCCTCCTTGTCTTCATCCTCATTGGCTTGCCTTCTCCTTTTCGCCTTCTTCTCCTCTTCGCTACCCTCCTACTCTCTCCTCTCATTCTTCCCTCTTTTTGACACCCAGGATTCACAATGGATCAGCCCGGGTTTCACAAAGGATCCCCTAGAGAATCGTCACAGCAATTACGCTTGCCGACGTCACATCGCAACCCAGTCCTTCCGTAATGAATGGTGTGACCTGCCACATGGCTTGTCTACTTCCGGATCATTCATCTGCCACGTGGCAGATCAAGGATCTTGATTATGCTCGTACTACCTTTCCTGCCACGTGGCATCTTAGATGCAAAGTAATGGAGGAATAATAAAATAAAATTTGCTTTTACTGCCACGTGGCATACGTATGCAGGGTAACGCTAACACGTGGCTTGAACGAGCACCCAGTCTTGCGCCCCCTGTTGGCCCTCCTTTCTCCGATTTCTTCACCCCTCTCTCCCGTTTCTTCACGCACCCATTCTCACCAATCAACCATCCAGATCGTCACCGGACCCCTGAAGAGAACTCTGCCACCCCTCCTCGACCAGGCTGAGCGCCTGCCTTTTCCTCTTGCTCCTCCTCCCGCCGTCTTCTGCACCACCACCTCCTTCCCGTCCCATCCTGTCCCTCTGCTGTCTTGTTCCTCTTCCCGCCATTCTCTTCCATCTCCCCCTGTCATCCTCCGTCATTCTCTTCCATCTCCCTCTGTCATTCCTCCTCACTCTCTCTCTCTCTCTCTCTCTCTCAATTACTCACACGATCGCTCTCGCCAATCAATCACCCAGACGGCCGTTGAACCCTGAGAAAGAACTCTGACTGACGACTCCAAATTTCAAAAATAAATAAATAAAAAATGCATGCATGCTGTGAGTCTATCCAAGCTCCAGACAGGGAGTCTGATCTCCTCACGTGTTGCTTATGATCCTTTCGGCAGTACCCTGTACTCATATACAGTACTGATGACACATATCGAATCATTATCGATATGTATGAGGAGCAATGATTGCTTATGCAACTTCTGATGGTTTCCCTGACCACAGCAGCTTTCTGTGGCCCTCATCGTTTCGAGAAGGAGCCAAGGATATTGCCGCCGCTTCTGCAGACTGATTTTCTTCTGTTCAATCATCTCTTCCTCTTTATTGATCAATCAGCTAGACTACCGTCTTCACCCGAATAGAACGCCCGGTCATTATAGCCGTATTTGGTGCAACTTGCAGTCCAGGTACAGCGATAATGACCGGGCGTTCTATTCGGGTGAAGACGGTAGGCTTCTGATGAGCACTTGCCTGCGCCACGTGGCGTACTTTGAAGATAGGCGTCGCTGAAGCGCTTGAATTGCCACGTTGTATCTTGATGAATCTGACTGCAATCACTCGCCAAATCGGCAGAAAAAGTCCTGGATTGTGGCCTGAGCTTCAGCAGTCAAACTCGGCTCGGGTCTGTATTTTCCACAATTCATGGCTATATGCATCTAACGGCGGCTAAAGGTAGGGGCGGCGTTCAGGAGCTGGTGTCGCGGCAAACAGGTCGTGGGGGTATACGTATCTGACCGCAGCTACCGGTAGTGCTGGACTTCATGAATCTCACTGTAATCACCTGCAGAAATTGGCAGAAAAAGTCGGAGAGTGAGTATGCCCGAAGTGTCAGCAGAGCTGACACGGGGTGCCTTGCTCAGGATGCATATTCTGTTTGGGGGGAACATGGTAGGTGTTGGATTTCAAATTGTTGGATTCATTCATGAGACATAAACCGGGACCGCAGGCTCAACTTTTCCAACCAGTTGATGTCACCATTGATCTTCTTCTTTTTTTGGCTGTCTTTTTTCACCCATTTTTTATGGGGAAAATTTTCGATATGCCCCTCAAAGTTCGATTTATTTGCAGCATGCCCCTTTAACGGCCGACTTACCCTGCAGCGCCCCTCTGACAGCGATTGAAGTTTCTGAAAAACCCCTGGTGTCGTTTGGGCCTGACAACTGTTCAATATACCCCTATCGGTACCCGTTCCAAATTTCAAGTATGCCCCGGTAGCTCCCCTCCCAGAGCCAGGGGAACGATCACATGTGCCACCAACGGCCACAGGGGCATGCTAAAAAGTTGCTACCCTCACAGAGAGGGGCCTGCAGGAAAGTTCAGAGGCCCCAGGGGCACGGCAGGGTAAATCGGCCGTCCGAGGGGCACGGTGCAAATTTATTGAACTTTCAGGGGCATATCGAAAATTTTCCCTTCTTTATGAAGTTCACACAAACCTAAGTAGCGCTCTCATACATGAGGCAATAGCTGCTGCTTTTTTTTTTTTTTTTTTTGGGGGGGGGGGGTGGCTGTGCTCAGAAGGGCCGAAAAGCAGGTATTTAATCACCACCATGTGGCCCATATATCGGCCGCACGCCGCTCACCGCAACTTTCGGAGGCCGGAAATGCGACAAAAGCTGTCGATAAGATTTATCACAGGTGTCCTTCGGGACATCCGTTAAAATTGGAACGATACAGAGAAAGGAGATTAGCATGGCCCCTGTGCAAGGATGACACGCATAAATCGAGAAATGGTCCAAATAAATAAATTAAGGGAAAAAAAAAAAAGAAAAAAAAAAAAAGAAAGACTTATCACAGGCAGCCAGGGTTGAAAGTCGCAGCGCGTTAACGGGCATGCACGGCCCCCCCATCCCGCCAGCCACAACCACGTCCTCTCAGGTCACAACCGCAACCACATCCTCTCACGTCATTTCCCCTCTCCCCCGGTCATGGCCGCCGAACATAAAGATGAGCACAACCGAAATCGGGCAATTGAGAGGGTAAGAGGGATGGACGGGGGGGAAGAGGGAGGGGGGTGTAGCCCCCGTTCCCCCGCCACAGCCACTACCACATCCTCTCAGGTCACCTCTTCGCGACATTCACATCCAACAGGGAGGGCCCCCTCAAAATCTGCCTGCATAAAACTTCCCTTTTTCCTTTTTTGCCTCCTTGCACAGGCCTATGCTAATCGGCTCTTCATACAACCAATAGCCCACAGGGCTCGCACCTGCTTCCCTCCTCCACCCCAGATCGTGCCTTCACCGCCCCTCACTTCTCTGCTCCTCTGCGCCTTCCCTGCTGCCGGCCTCACAGTCACACTACCACCTGCGAGCTCGCGAATGCGCGCTACGTCAGCACTCAGCAGTGTTTCTACATTTGCAGTAGCCTGCATGTCCTGCCTTCAGTTACAGCAATGTTGCAGCCATTGCCTACCGGTAGTGTTTGCACATTTGCACTCGTGCGTTGTCTCCCAATCCGCCGGATCTTCTCAACATCTGCGTACCTGTGTACGAGTTTGACAGACAAAGAGTCCTTTGGACCCATGGGCCTAGCTCACTTGGAACTAGACCCATGAACTGTCAAAAATTCTCAAAATACTAAAATACTAAAATAGTAAATACTTCAAAATACAGACACGAGTTGGAATGCAGATGGAACTAGAAAAAGAACGAAAGAAAAGAAAGAAAGACAGAAAGAAAAAAAAGAAAGACAGAAAGAAAAAGAAAGAAAGAAAGAAAAAGAAAACGGAATGAATAAAAAGTCTCTGGTTTTGTCTTTCTGAGCAGCAACTCCGGAGACATGTCAATCTTTGCACGCCACCTTGACACACATGACCTGCTGATATACAGACCTGAGTTCGAATCCAGGTGCAACCGGTTACCAGATGTTAAAATTTAAAAACGAAAAATAATTTAAATAAAAAATTAAAAATATAAAGAGAATTAAAAGTTACCCTTTCCATCTTCCAAGTTTCTTTCAACAAAAAGTAAATTTGTGTTTTCAACTTTTCATTGAACATTCCCCCCCCCAAAAAAAAATCAACTTCAGACAGACTTCTTTGATCCAAAGCAAGTAAACTTCGGAAAAGTTTGTCCGTGCAGCCTACTACCCCAAGGGCATTCAGAAAAAAGGTCTCCTTTCTGTCATGAACAATGAACAACATCTAACTCGAGAAAAAGGTGTGCGTTATAAATTATAATAAGCATGCCTCTCCAAAAATCAACTTGAGAAGTTGAAAGAAATGAAAAACAGGAGAGACTTCTTTCGGCCAAAGCACGTAGATTTCAGGACGTTTGACACCCCGCTCCCCCCCCCTCCCCCCGGCCTTCCTTTCAGGAAGTGAAAGAAGGAACATTGAATGGATGGCTGCGCGCGTGTGTGTGTGTGTGTGTGTGTGTGTGTGTGTGTGTGTGTGTGTGTGTGTGTGTGTGTGTGTGTGAGAGAGAGAGAGAGAGAGAGAGAG